AAAAAAAAAAAAAATCCCCCCCCCCCCGCATTCGCTCACTCAACCGTGAAATTGTTTTTGAGAAGTCCCCCGCAATCGTTTCACATTTTTATTATTATTCTCGGGATTCCCCTTGTTCTGTCCTTCACAAATATTTCAACTCCAATTGAGTCAACTGGACGATTAAACCCCAGCTCTGCCGTTTCCCATAGCAACTTCTTGCTAGCGGATGTTTGTTTCAGTCGTAAAGAACCAGGGTTGTTTTTCCTTTTTGGCCGACAGAATCGTTCGAATTCAATCAGTAGACGGTCTGGAAGAAAGAGAATTGGCCGCCATTATGGGATCTTGAGGTAGAATCTTGTGTTTTTCCTGGGTAATTTTAGTTCATAGGAAGACCGATGGAATTCGGCGAAGTCTTTTTTATCATTGAATCCAACCAATTTCGTGAAATTCTTCCTGACGGTGAATGGAACATGAATTTTTTTCTCGGTAGCCAGAATTGATCAAAGATTTTGGAAAAATTCAGGGGGACAGATCCGCCATGCCGTTGCCTTCCCATAATTTTTTAAAGTCATTTGTTACAACATTTCTTCCTCGCCTTCCTTTGAGAGAAACGAACGATAAAAAACAAGAGTGTCGTAAGAATCGAGAAAGTGAGTTCCTCAGGTGGTAACTCACGCGTTATACAGGGTGTCAGAATCAGTGTTGAAGAAAGATCGTGAGAGGCAAGAGAACAGAGATAAAGGAGGAAACATAGACCGAAAAAAAGAAATTCCCCCCGCAGAAAAAAAATCCCGCGAAGATGAAGAAGAAGCAGAAGACCATTCCAACGCGAGGATTATTTTCCCCGCCAAATTTATATTCATGGGATATTTTTTAAAACCTATGCCGCGGTATCTTTGGCTCTCCCTCCGCTCCGCGTTTTTTTTTCCTATCATTTTTCACAAGCTTCCGATGATTTATTCTCACTTCCAGACGTCTAGGGGTCCCAAAAATCGATGGAACTGATGAACTAATTTGCCAAAGCATTCTCGGATAATTGCAGCTCCTGAGAGGTAAAAAAAATAGGTGTTACACCGTTAATGAGGCCTCCATGACGAATGTGGCGAAAAAGATTAACAGTATCCCCTCCCATATGAAGCATTAAGAAACCACTGAACCCGAAAAATCCCCTCTGGCATATTTCGGGAGCCCTCCCGGTGAAAAGAATAAATATCAGGTGTCTACGGTGTTCGTCCCTGAAAACCCACCTCAGAAGTCCCCAAAGGGGCCCTCTTTGTTGCTGCGCGCCACCTTCTCTTCTCGCCTCAGCACCACAACATAACCAAACCGGACCTCCGGCTCCCCCCCCAATCTCTTTCCATTTTCTCTCTCGTGTCCCCCGTGAGGAATGAAATGAGACGGACTCAGGTCCCCCCGCCGGACGAAAAAAAAGTGATTTAAGCGGCGGGGGTGGAAGGTGCCACAAGATTAATTTGATTTTCAACCAAATTTGACGCCCCAAGAGCCACAAAAGGTTCCGCCCACAGAGAAAGAAACTGTTCTCGAATCGAAAAGGAATTTTTTGCCACAAGGGGGGGGGGGATACCGTAAGGGCCAAAATAGATCTAAAAACCGTTCACCAGCAATTTCTGATCCTCAACTATATGCAATCAGTCGTAAGTTTTTTGAAAATTTTTTACTGAACCAAATGTGCAATAGTCAATGCGCAATACCCATGAATATGTGTGCGCAGAAAACAAGTATCAGCGTTTCCTTTCAGTCTTCTCCATCATCCCCTCCATTTTATTCTTTTCCAGCGGATCACCTTCGTCGGTATCTTTTCCCGCCTCTGCAGGCGTTTTACCGCGCACTTTCCACATTCTTTGTCTCTCTTATGTTACGCGAAATCGGCTCTCCGTCTCACGATAATTCCACCTCCCCCTGTCCACCTCAGCTGGGTAAGGAACACGAGTCGTGTGGTGTGTACGTCGAGGACAACAACACACGTTATACCCATGTGCGTATAAAGTTAACCTATCCTACTGTGTATCTTTGAACCAGGAGAATGGCGATACAATCGTTGGTAGAGCGAGGAGGATGGAATTTTCCTCGAGGCTGGATCTATCTCATCGATCGTTAAAAAATATGCCGATAAATCGTGTGACTCGGTGACGTGTTTTTCCTAATTTTATCCAAGATTCCCCTTTTTCGTATTCCCATTATGAAAGAAAGAAGATAAACACGAAGAAGTCGTTGAGCCTCGACGTACCAGGAACCAAAGTACACAAATTTATTTCCTCAATAAATTTGTGAAATTAGTCGTCAAGATCACATTTCAAGCCTCGATGACCGAAGAAAAAATAAAGACCCCTGAGGAGAAGAAGTACAGAGGCAGATAAGTAAAAAGGAACCACTGAAAACTAAAAAGGTATAACTTGAGGATAAAATAAAAAAAATGTATGGCGAAAACAGCACACGGGAGGCTGCCCAAAACACGCTGGACGTGTGGCGCCATCGTGACTCCTTCTTTTTTCCTCTCTTCCATCCCCCTAAATCCTCCACTCCTTATTTTCGTCTCCTGACCATTGGCTGTACTGGGGCTATCATCGTGCTTTTGTTTCTTCACCCATACTAATTCATCCCCGCCCGCCTCCTCCCCACTGAGGAAGAAGAGGAATCACGATACGATAATGTGCAAGAAGAGGACAGAAACCGGGAGGAAGTTTTCTGCCCAAAACATGGGACTTCGGTACTGATGATGAGGAACATTGAGAGACTCGTTAAAATGTAATGGCATTGTTGGGTTAATGGGTGAGTCCTTTAAACGGTTCTTTCAGGTCCCGACAGTATTTCCTGGGAGTGGTGAACTTCCCGGAGTTTATTACCTTCTTCACCTGTCAATTTTGCAACATTCATCATATTTTTATCATTATGGATTTCCAACTTTTTCGGAATTTGTAAAATTGCGAATAAAAGTATTTTGAAGATTTTGGATTTCTGGTGTTTTTATTGTGGAATTTAAGAAAGATACTGACCACTGTACTACCGGTAAAAATATTAATACTGTCAATCTGCAAGGTGGAGAAGTGCATCCAGGGGAAACATTGAATTTCCAGAAATTTACATACCATAGTAATGATATTTGCCGTAACTGTCCATGTTTTCATTGAATGAACCTGTTTACTTTGCGACATTCATCATATTTTTATCAGTATGATGTCCGATTTTTTTCGGATTTTGTAGAATTGTTAATAAAAGTATTTTGAGGATTTTGGATTTCTGGTATTTTATTTTGGAATTTGAGAGATACTGACCACTGTACTACCGGAGAAAATATTAATACTATCAATCTGCAAGGTGGAGAAGTGCATTCAGGGGAAACATTGAATGTCCAGAAATTGACATGCCATGGTAATGACATTTGCCGTCGTTCTAAATGTTTTCATTGAATGAATCTGTCGTCGATGAAAAAAATTGCATTAAAATTCACCTGCAATTTCTCCACATCCCAGCCATACAGTACTCACACGGTTGGACGAAAAAATCGTCATTACCGTGGAATGTAGAAATATCGATTAAGAATGGCAATGCCGAAGAGAATATCGCCAAGATCTTCTGAACGAGTAGGTTTAGGGAAAAATTCGATGAAATATTTTTTGTTGTGAATTATCTGGTCTCAAAAAAAAAGTTCATGTGAGATTTTTTCCTAAATCCACTCGTTCCCCAAATTTTTCCGAAATAACTTCCCAATTTCCTTTCGGAAATTCCCCGGATGAGCCTCTCTAGACCGCTTCCTCTCCTTGCATTCCGAGATTACGGTACTTCACGTATGGTCAGTGATGACTCCACGACTACTGAAGCATCCTCGAGTCAATATTCCACATGATAGCCCTCAAATCCCCCCGCACCTCAAATCCCCGAAAGGGCTAAAATTTCCTGTGTCACCCAGAAACCTGAGAGAAGATGCATATCCAATATCCCTCTTGACCCAGACCCATCGTAAACTTTAAGCTCAACCTCACTATCCCCAACCCCCCTCCCCTCCCCCCTCAAAAAACACCGGATAATTAAAACGAATGTCAACGGCTCGTTTTAAACAGGAAAGAGGAGATGAACAAACGGTCAAAAAGATTAAAAAAAAACAATTTCTCTTTTTCGTTGGCGATCATCACATCTCCTTTCTCCCATATACCCTCGTTTCCGGCCTAACCTGATGGGGAAGATAAGAGCTTTACCCCGATCAGTTTTCAGGTCTCCAAAAATAAAAAAATTGCGTGATTAAAATTCCCTCAAGCCCCCTAAAAAATCCAAAAAACCGATTTCCTTCCAAAAACCGACAATCACCTGAGATAATGAACCCATCAATTTCTCCTTCCAATCGGAAAAATCTCGGCTAAAAAATAATCCCCAATAAATTCTCAGTTGCAAAAAAACTCTCCGGAGGTGCAACCCAAAAATAACCAAAAAAAGCCCCTGTAATTTCTTAAAGCCTCACCGAGACACCGATCCCCAGGTTTCCATCACCCTTCGTTGCCCGATAACGATCTCGATCTTTCTCGCGCACGGTGGAGATGTGAGCAAAAAATCTAAGCCCCAGTTGGAGATACCTCTCTTCGCCCGACTGAAAAAAAACTCCACCCCCCCTCCCCCCTCGAAGAAAAAAAAGAATCGCAGGACCACGACAGGACCCTCACACCCTCAGCAACGATTACCGATCTCGATTTCACCCCGGTTTGCAATGAAAAAAATGGCGACTCACCTGCTCTCCACGAAAAATCCAACAATATCCTCAACAATATTTCCAAAAAACTGTCAAGTCACACCTAGGTCATCATTGCCGATCTCCAAAATCCCAAGCACTACGAAAAAAGAAATCGTTACGTAATTTTCGCTATGACGTTTGCCGACAACTGACCGCCGATTTTTTTTTGATAAATCTCTATCACCCCTCACCAATCGATGAAAAATAAATATTAATCGTGGAGTGAAGCTAAAAAGCTTGATCGCCAGTGCCCCGTGGCACGAAACTGCTGCCGATCTCACTCGTCTCTCTGCTGTTCCGTTCTACTCTGCACCAGAGCTCCCTCCCTCCTCCCAATCGTCATCTCTCTCTTCTGCGATCCTCGGATGCTGTTCAATCTCCTCAGGTTCCTCTCTCTCTCCCCTCCCCCGTCCTCTTCATCCAGCCACCCCTCTTCCCCGCCCTTCGCTCCTTTTTCCAGTACCGATCGGTAACCTATCTGTTTTTTTTACCCCCTCCTCCCATCTCACGTTTGAGATTTCTTGAACGAAATTGAAGAGGGGGCAAGCGGTGAGGAGCGAGGGGGTGGGAAAAGGTGGCAAGAGGAAGAGTTGGAAAAGGAGATGAAGCAGAAGGAGATGACCGTCTTTGACTACATTTTTTTTTTCAAGACGAGCGCAATGTAAAAACGTAAAAACGCCCGAGGCATTACACCTCGAACCAGTAAAACTTGTCGTGTTTCCATCTGAAGTAAATGTGATGGGGAGCGGTAGGTGAGAGGGGAGAGTGGGGAATTTGTAAGTGGAAATCGAGGTTTATAGGAGGCTTAGCTACTATTCCCTTGTACGAGAGATTTTTGCGGCGAAAGAATGTTATCGGGTGATAGAATCGGTCTTTATTAATTTGGGGGTGGAATTTTTATTGATAAGGTGAACAGGCCAATTGCTGGACTCGGACCAATACCTGGACGATTTCACCTTTTATTGAATATTCTATAAATAATAGAATGAAAACTGCACGGATTATTATCATTATCAATAATCACACTTATGTATAATTATGTGATGAAGTTTTTTTTTCGAAATATCATTACAGCAGGAAAAAAATATTCAGGACGTACAGTGCTGGGTGGCGTGGCGCTGCAATTTGCTAAGCATCAGTAACAAAGTGTCGTAAAATAGCACAATATTTTCAGGAGGAGAATCACATCCCGAAGATTAAGAATCTATTTGGCCTTGTATTTCTTCACATTCAATGAAAAACATTCACATGTTTATATCAACTGGATGAAAATTCTATATTCCGAGGGACCGTCCACGTATTGGCCACCGTCCATCTATTGGCCCTAGCGTCCAGTTACTGGGGATTTGGACGACATTCCACTTTTCCCTCATTTAATTATACTTTTCTTCATTCTTTCCACTTCAAATTATCGTTTTTTCCTAATTCATATATTCTTCCAGGTTTAGAACTCATGTTTTATTCATTTAGCTACTTCATCGATTTGAAATCCTTTAAGGGGAAACGACACCCCTGTCTATATGAATTTTTCGAATTGTGTTTTGTCCTGCAATTATTATTTTTTATGTCGCGCCGTGCAATAAGTCGAGTTTATCGCACGCTGCGCTTCGCGCAGCCTGCTCAAAACTCGACTTCTGCACGACTTGACATAAAATATTATAGAGCACTCGGTAATAAATTTCGTTTTCAATGAATGTGTGTACAGACCTCGCCTTCGGCTCGGCCTGTAAACTACACATTCCTTGAAAACGAAATTTGTGCCCTTGTACTCTAATGTACTATTATTTATCAAACTACTTCATTGACTCAACAATGCAACAATCGAGTCGATAAAGTAGTTTCATAGATAAAAATTAATAATTATAGGAGAAAACACAATTCTAAAAGTTCTTGTAGATAAAGGGTTTCATTTTCCCTTAGTGAAGTTCAATATTTCCTTAACCGTCCAGCTATTGGCCTGTTCACCCTACATAAACAGAACAATTTCTGTTGAAAATTTTTTTCTGTTCATTTATTATTTCCGTAATTGATACATGATATAATTCGGCGAAAGCATCCCCGAATGAATGAATAATGCAGAGTAATGAAGAGAAAAGCAGTCATTTTTATTTTCTACTCAGAAAAAAATAATAATTATAGTCATAACTCTTAATTTGATGGATATCATCCCAATGGGTCTACAATAATCTTTTTTTTTTAAGTGACGGAGGTAGGAGAATGGCCCCAGGGCCTCCTCATACCTTGAATTAGTAAACTCGGTAGCCAAAGTGGAGGGGGGGGGGGAATTCTAGACCGATGGGATAATAGAGTAA